CAGGTAGAACACTGTATATATAATGAATAATTCTTGTTTTGTTTTTGTTTTTTTTGTTTTTTTTTTTTTGTATACAATATTCTATCTACATGTGTGCCTGCAGGCCAGAAGAGGGCACCAGACCTCATTACAGGTGGTTGCTGGGAATTGAACTCAGGACCTTTGGAAGAGCAGGCAATGCTCTTAACCTCTGAGCCATCTCTCCAGCCCCCTCCCCCCCCCATTTTTTAAAAAAAGAAAAGAAAATACCAGCCAGGCGGTGGTGGTGCACGCCTTTAATCCCAGCACTTGTGAGCTGTCATGATTTACCAGATTAAATTCTGTCTTTTTTAGTGGCTATGTAAATGCCCCATCTGTGTTGCCTTAATGTATTATCATTTGAGGTGACAATTGTTTCTATTTTCACCGTCACCAATAAGACCGAGGAAAGTCTTCATGCATAACATTTTACTCCTCGGGTGTATAGTTACTAAGTCAAAGAATTTGATTTTTTTTTTCTGAGGTAGGACCTCACTTAAAATCTTCCTGTCTCTACCTCTCAAGTGTTAAAAGTACAGGCCTCTGGCTTGCATAACCCCACAGACCAAACTGTTTGGTTTTTCAAAGGGTTTCCTTCGTTTGGTCAGTTGGTTGGTTTTTTAGAGTTATGGCTTCCTATAGCTCAGGCAGCCTCAAACTTGCTAAGTAACCAAGGAGGATCTTGAATTTGTGATGCTCCTTAGTGTGGGGATTGCAGACATGAGCCACTATTCGCAGTCCGGCTTTGTCCATCCTAGGTAGGTAGGTGTCTCACCTGATTGAAAGGCTTTTGATTGGCTGAATGGCTGGGGAGAATGTTGAGTGAGTGCAGTGTTTTGAGGATGTCCTTTCTAACTTCACTTTGGCAGCATCTGTGTCCCAGTATTTTGAGGAAAGTCTTTTTAAGTTTCTCGCCTTCCTCCAGCTCTGTGCATAGAGGGTAGGGGCACTCTGAGGACAGTGGCAGGCTTGTCAGTTGCTAATTGGAGCCTGAGGTGCTGCATGTGCCCTCCGTCTGCAGGCCCTGCCCGGCTACAGCCCCTCTCCTTTTGACCCTCCTGCTCTGCCCATACAGTTTGAATACCAGCAGGCTCAGCTGGAGGCTGAAATTGAAAACCTGTCGTGGAAAGTTGAGCGTGCAGACAGCTATGACAGAGGGGTAAGTGTCTTCTGCCCTGGTGCAGGTAAGGGAAAGGTATCATTAATAGGTGATTGTATGGAGGTGGCGGTTAACGCTGTTGCGGTGGGGTGAAAGGTTAATTTTGTATGGACTCCTCAGAGCCCCTGCTCTTGGTTGGCGTTGGGACTTGTAAGCACCTGTTGTATATCCCTTGTGCAGGACTTGGAAAACCAAATGCACATAGCAGAGCAGCGGAGAAGAACCCTGCTGAAGGATTTTCACGACACCTAAGCTGGGCTGAGGATGTGCCGGGGTGAGGAAGACGTAGCTGTGGGCGTCCCGGCTACCATACTGCATGCTGCAGGCTCTGCCTTCGCGACCCCAGGCAACAGCCAGGGCCCCACTCCTGAGAGACACTGGCAACAACCTCTTAGTCCATCTGTTTTCTCCTCATCTTTTTGCTTTTTGTTTCTACCAGGGTAGAGGCCATGTTGGACCGGCCTCTAGTAAGGACTTTTATTAAATTTCTCCCTGGATGATTGTTGGGAGGGAGGGAACTTTTTTTCCTGAATGGCTATTAATAGTATTAGATCATTACAACTTATGTAATTTTCAAAGGTTGTACGATTAGAAAGAAAAAAAGGCAAACCATAGGATAACACAGAGCCCTTTTGAAAATAAATTGGCTTTGGAGTGTATACCCTCTAGCAATTTTACTTAGAATGTAACCTGATGCTGCCCAGCCACCAGCCTCAGAATGTCTGCGCTGCCAGGGTCCCTGGGGTGGCATCTGCTTTCCAGCATCCTGTTTGACAGTAGCTGGAGTCCAAGGGAAGAGCAAGGGTGGCAGATGGTGGGGAGCTGAGTTGGCCTGCATAACAGGCATGGCACACATGGAGTCACGTGCCTCCTGCCTTCACTGGGCAGCAAGGGCACAGAGCAAGCAAGGTCTCAATATGGCTTACTTTTATTCTTCAATGTGAGACTTACTTGAGTTAGGCCACCAAGCCAGAAGCCACAGCAGAGCAGAGGTGGGCTTTCGCACCTCCAGACTGGGAGACTGGTTCAGCGTGGTGCGTCCTTTTGTCTCCTAAAGATAAGAGAGCCACCTTTGAAAGGAATCGTTCCCTGAATAAGTTTTCTTTTCTTTGGTTGTTCCTTTTGATCCAGTATTCAATGGTGTACTCTGACCAGGGCCACACGTGCCGTGTCCGACACTGTCTTACTGCATTCTGTGGACATCAAGGTCAGAGTTCAGCATGGCCCTTTCAAGGGCATGGGCCTTGTGGCTCAAGAGCTAGGTTTGCACAAGTTATTTTATGTTAGCCTGGAGTGAGTGTGGCCAGACGCTACTCTGGGCTGGGATGTGTTCCCTTTCGCCTAGTTGCAGTTGTCAGAGGACCCCATCTCTAGGGTCTGGGATTCTAAGGCCAGGAGAATGCCTGGTTGTGGTCCCAGTTCCTTTACTAGAAGGGGCTAGCCAGAGGAAAGGACCAGTCCTTGCACAGTCAAGTGCATGGGGACAGGCAGCTTGCCTGGTGTCCTTCCTGTCTTGAACCTGGTCCTGTGGGCCTTTGAAAAGTTAGATCTGTGATCTCTGGGGTTTCCATGGCTTTGTTCAGTGCCTCCCTCTGAGACTGGCAGAGCTATCTATACTTGACAGGGCCTCCTTGAACTCCTAGGAGAGCCTGCAGAGAAATCTGTGAATATTGTGATGCAGATTCTTTGATATTCATACATTTTCACCTCCAGTCAACAATTACCTAGGTACCATGTAAAGCTATAAAATTGTGTTGTTTTCAAGACAGGTGACAGCTGTGACTCTTGGGTACTTGGCCAGCTACATGTTCTCTTTCACCTCCTCAGGTTTTGTCTCTTCATGTTGTCCCCGACAAGTGAGAGATTGTGGGGTGGATTGGAAGTAGTTTGGTGTGTATCGATTGATCCCAAAATAACAGTAGGAGCTAATTGTAAACCAGGAATATTCCTACCGCAGGGCCTGGGGTGGCACGTGCATTCTGTGCTGATACACAGCCTTCCATCAGTGGCACTGCTGTGGCACAGAACCAGAGTTGCAGCTCTGCAACCTAAACCCCTTGGGCGCTTTCTGAACTGCACAGCTGACATGCTACTTATCAGCTGTGACCCTGACCATTCGCACTGCAGGAAGCTTTGCCAGCCACAGCTGGTAATACTTCACCTGTGGACACCTTCCTTTTGCGCCCTCAGTGGCCGTCCTTTGCAACATTATCAGGGACATCTTAAAGGTCAGGCAGAGATTTTTTTTTTTTTTTTTTTTTTTTTGGTTTGGTTTTGTTTGGCGTTTTGCCCTACAAAGGGTAGAGAAAAACGTGTTTTCATGAACTGACCAGATCCTTGTTTTTCTTTAAAGAAAAGTTGAGGTGATGTCATCTGCTCAAAGTTGAGTGGTTTATTCAGAATAAACTAAGTTTCTGATTATAAAAGTGTGTGGAGTCTTCCTTCAAAGTGTCTAAGTGCCTTTTGTCCTCCAGGGACTGCGAGGCCCAGTTAGAGTTAGCAGTGCTTTTCTTCCTGTGGGGAGAAGGTGGTTCTGAGTGCCCCCTGCAGAAGGAGAAGTGTTAGTTCTCCTTTCCTTGGGGACAGATTGAGCCATTCCCTACAAACACCTTGGGCTGAAGTAGGAACGCCCTGAGCCCTGCCATTAAAGCCCTCTGGGTCTCTCCAAAGCAGATGCAGACCATATGACAGAGGACATTGTGGCTCTTGAAATTTATAAACAAAACTCAGGACAAAAATTGGAAATGGGTCTGTTTTTTGATCTGTGTTGTCAGGCATGTGAGTAGTGTTAGTGAGAGGGATTGCAGGGTAAGACACGCTAGCACTGTGGTGGGCTGCATTCCACACTGCTGGCTGGCCGCAGGTATGCTGTCCTTAGGCTTAGCCCTGGGAATACGGTGGGATCTGAAGGGACAGGATGTATGTGTAGGTGTTGTGTGTATTATGTCTGTATACTGTGTGCATGCCTGCGGAGGCATATGGATGCTGCAAATCAAACCCAGATCATTTGCAAGAGCAAGTGCTCTTAACAGCTTAGCCAACTCTCCAGCCCCACTAGTGCATATGTTTACTGGGCAGCAAGGCCCAGGACCAGTTAAGCACAGTGGGCAGCAAGGTGCCATGACCATGGCATTCACACTACTGGTGATCTTTTTAGAAAGAATGCCTCTGGCAAGATGGTTCAGTGAAGCCGGGCGGGCGGTGGTGGCGCACGCCTTTAATCCCAGCACTCGGGAGGCAGAGGCGGGCGGATCTCTGGGAGTTCGAGGCCAGCCTGGTCTACAAGAGCTAGTTCCAGGATAGGCACCAAAGCTACAGAGAAACCCTGTCTCGAAAAACAAAAAAAAAAAAGAAAAAAAGATGGTTCAGTGAGTAAAGGCATTTCACTGACTGCTGAGTAAGATCCCCAGGATCCATGTGGCAGGAGAAAACTGCAGGTTGTCTCTGACCTCTACACCCAGTGTAGCACAAACATACGTACACTTAAATGTGAAATGTCTGTTAAGGGACCGGGGAGATGGCTCAGTAAAGAGCGCTGACTGCTCTTCCAGAGGACCCAGGTTTAATTCCCAGCACCTACATGGCAGCTCACGACTGTCTGTAACTCCAAGATCTGATACCCTCACGCAAATATACATGCAGCCAAAAAACCAATGCACATAAAATAAGTAAGTTATTTTTAAAAAACGAAATGAGGCTGGGTTGTGGTGCACATCTTTAATCACAGCCCTCAGGAGGCAGAAGCAAGCAGATCTCTGAGTTCAAGGCTAGAGCGAGTTCCAGGACAAGTGCCAAAGCTACACAGAAGACCTCAGGAGGCAGAAGCAAGCAGATCTCTGAGTTCAAGGCTAGAGCGAGTTCCAGGACAAGTGCCAAAGCTACACAGAAAAAAAACCCTGTCTTGGGAGGTGGGGGGGGCATTTCAGACTAGTGTAGCATAATTTGAAGACAATTACAGTAAGGGAAACCTGGAACTCCCTATGTAGACCAGGCCTTGAACTTGGAGTTGTTGGCTCTGAGATTACAGGCATGTTCTACCACACCCAACTAAGAGATGTGAATATTCCTAAATTAACAGTAGAGACTTGTCTGTTTAAGCCATAAACTGAGACAGGATCTTGCCATGCAGTAGACAGGCCACCTGCTTTCACCTCCCGAGTACCTAGATTGCAGATGTGGACCCCCACGCCGCCTGCTTTTACCTCCCCAGTACCTAGATTACAAATGTGGACCCCCCACGCCGCCTGCTTTTACCTCCCCAGTACCTAGATTACAGATGTGGACCCTCCATGCCGCCTGCTTTTACCTCCCCAGTACCTAGATTACAGATGTGGACCCCCCACGCTGCCTGTTTTCACCTCAGTACCGAGATGACAGATGTGGACCCCCCACGCTGCCTGTTTTCACCTCAGTACCGAGATGACAGATGTGGACCCCCCACACCGCCTGTTTTCACCTCCTCAGTACCGAGATAACAGATGTGGACCTCCATGCCCAGATACTGAGATAAAACGTTGTAGCAGCAGTTACACTCCTTTATGGATGAATTTTAGGCAGCTGGGGAGATGGTTCAGTGATTTCCTCCCAAGCTTGAGGTCTGCAGCACATAAATAAATGCAGAGCAGGCCTTACAGCCTGCCTGTAATCCCAGCACAGACAGGTGGGAGATGGTATCCTCAAAGCTGGCCAGACTGCTGAACTGGTGAGCTCGCTTCCGGTGAGAGCCTGTTTCAGTGAATACAGGGCAGAACAGTGGAGGAAGGCGTTAGAATCAATCTTAAAGCACTGTATACACATGCACACACATTAAAAAGTAAATTCTGGGGGAAAGAGGCTATGTCCTAATTGCCTCTGCTTTTGTGTAGGGTCAGGCAAGTCACCAGAGATTTCTGCTGCCACTTCACATGAAAATGGAACACGTGGTGACTGTTACCATAACATCCCTGCTTTTGTAGTAAATTAGGAGACCCATTACACCCGGCATTTATTCTGGAGTGCTGGCTATTTAGGCCTTCAAGGAATCTTGGGAATTTCAGAGCCTTAGCATGACAGTCCTAAGACATTCCTGGCAAACCTGGAATGGTTTCCTCAACAACTCCTAAATCAGCAGATCTTTGTGAGTCCAAGGTCAGCCTGGTCTACAAGAGCTAGTTCCCAGGACAGGCTTCAAAGCTACAGAGAAACCTGTAAAAAAAATGACTTGCTAAAAGACTTTTCTTGGGGCCGGGGTGTGGATTTCTCTATGTACCCCTGGCTTGTTTGTTCTGTGTAGCTCCTGGAACTCGCTTTTGTGTAGCAATGAAAGGACTTCTGCAAGGCTATTTGGAATTGAGGCCATCAGAAGCTGATTCCTCTTCTAAGGAAGCTTTAATACCTCCTGTAGTGTCTCAACACCAACATGCTTTGGCTAAATCATCATTCTCATTGCTGCCTGTTCCCTTCTGACCCGGAAAAACCCAGAATCCATCCTCTTGTGAGCTAGGAAGATGAACCAAGTCGTCTGAGATTGACTAGACTTTGATTGGTAAACTCTGGCATTTAGGGCACTGATGAAACCTGCCTTTGTAAAATGCTGGAAGTGACCCATCCTGTCTAGGACCAGAAAGTACAACCTTACTAGTTCTTTATTGCATTGGGGAGTGGATGGTCAGCTGCCCTAGGGTGTGGATATCTCCCGAGGGTAACCCAGTCTAGAAAAGCAGAGTTCAGAAATGCCTTGGCTGCTGCTTTTATAATCCGAGTTCCATTTTCTTCTGAGGCCAGGGTGTCCCTATTAGGGGAAAGCACTATCTTCCTTTCTCTTTCCACCCAATAAATTCGAGGCGAGTGTTAACACAAACCCGGCGGAGCCCCGTCTTTCTGTTTCCAGGATTCTTCCCGAAAGTTCTCTGACAGTCCTAGTCTGGGTCTCAACAGCTGCACAGTGCTGCACAGCTGGCAGTTTCTTCCTAAAGCGTGACTTGCAGGGCTTCCTTTGGTGATCCAGTCTGACCCCAGCAGGGCCTTCAAGAATATCTTGGTCATGGGAACTGCAGGGATCTGGTGATGTCTGCTTGGTAACTCCAGCAATTGAGAGGTGGATGCAGGAGAATCAGGTCACTCTTAGCTCCTTGCGAGTTTGATATGCCAGCTTGACCTATATGAGACCCTGTCTTGTTTCGTTTAAAAGAAAAAGAAAAACGAAACAAAACACGGAAGCTGGAGGGATAGCTGGTTAAGAACACTTAAAGCACTTACTGTTCCTGGTACACACACGGCGACCCACAAATGTCCGTGACCCCGGCTCCAACTCCCCTTCTGTCCTCTGCAAACACAGGCACGCGTGGAGTGCACATGCACATATGCAGTCACTCACATATACAGAAAATGTTTAATTAAAACAGTCATGCTCTGCAACCTAATCATCAGGTGCACAGTCATTGCCTCAGCAGCACATTAACTCAAAGCGCGGCCCGCCGTTCCTGCCACTCCCGACTCCCTCTCCCAGGAGCGAGAAAATGCCGGCTATACTTTTCTGGAAAGTGGGAACCAAGAAACTACTCATAGCAATGGAGTATGCCCTAACGGTGCACTCTTTGTATGCCTCCACTTGTGTGAGGTGTCTTTCGGCGATGGGGAGTGGTGCAGCTCGGGAAGCGACAACCCCGGTGCCATCGAGGTCCCTGGATCTCAGAGTGGACCTACGGGCGCAGCTGCGTGCAGGCGCAGCATCCCGAAGCTCGCTCTTCTAGTGACCGCGGTGCGCGCTGACTACGCCGTCCTGGTCCCGGCGACTGCGCAGCGCGAGCACCCCCGCGGCCCCTCCCCTGGGCGCGCGCGCGACCTGGGCGCCATGGCGGCGGCGGCAGCCGTGCAGCGGCCTGAGGCTGAGACAGTCGAAGAGGCCTCAGATCCGCAGTGGCCACTGCCGCCAGAGCATCGCCCTTCCGTGCCAGCGACCCGACCAGGCGATGGCGAAGAGGCACCGGTGCGGCCACTGTGCAAGCCACGGGGCATCTGCTCCCGCGCCTACTTCTTGGTGCTGATGGTGTTCGTGCACCTGTACCTTGGCAACGTACTGGCGCTGCTGCTCTTCGTTCACTACAGCAACGGGGATGAGAGCACAGATCCCAGACCCCAGCACCAAGAGGAGAGCCCACAGTCAGTGCCCACCTTGGGTCCCCTCACTCGGCTGGAGGGCATCAAGGTAAGAACACCTTCTCCCCGCACTGCGCTGCGCTCCAGGCACTGCCTAGCCAAGCCGGACGGGGCCCCCACGCTGCTCCCTACATCACTGTGTGCGGATCACGCACGCGCCTACTTACTTTCCCACTGTCGCGCCCTGACACGGGACTTTTCTTGAGCAGTGCGGCCTGGCACACCAGCTGCCCTCTGTGTACTTTTGCTTTAGGTGGGGTATGAGCGGAAAGTCCAGCTGGTCGCAGGCAGGGATCACTTCATCCGAACCCTCAGCCTCAAGCCGTTGCTTTTTGGTAAGTCCGCAGGGCACTTCGGGAAGGGGCCTGGGGCTGTAGTGTCTGCCCTGAGGCTTTTTTTTTTTTTTTGACCACGTGTTTTCTATTTTGAACATTTCGAACATGGCTGCTTTGTGGAAGTGCTTTCTGCATCCAGAGGCTTACTAAAGTAGAGCTCCCATCTCCACAGCAGGAGGACAGAAGTGCCTTTTCCACACTCCCCTCCCAGCACCACGATCCCCTCAGCAGATGCTTCCCTTACAGGCTAGGCAGCATGACCCTGAGACAAGTGTCCAAACAGTTTATTGGAATTATCTTTGGACGGTCTGTGCTACTAATCTGTCACATTCCAGAAAATCGGGGCAGGGTAAGAGGCTGATAACCAGGTGCCAGCTGACCTGGGGGCCTCGGGGGAGCTGTGGCAGGGGATCATGGCTAAAGCTGTGGTCTGATGAGAATAAACTGATACCCTCCATCCATCCCCTTTCCCACGTGGCAGAAGCCCAGCTTCTTGCTTCCAGTATTTGAGATTCTTAGGATTCTTGTCTTTCCCACTTCCCAAGCAGAGCTCTTCAGGGTGCCCCTGGGTAGCTGTATCACACACAACTCCTGCTTTCTGAGTTCTTAATAGACAACAGGCTTTGGTGTGATGGAGAGGCACTATAAATAGCAATGTCACGTGTGTGCCGTTGTGACAAGGGCTGTACACGCGTGAACTGTTGTTATCAATACTGTTGAGTAACATTGAAGGCCATGTAAGGTCTTGCTGCAGGCCAGTAGAAACAGCTCTTCTGAAACTGGCATTAGCACGAGGAGGGCGCAGGATAAACCGTTAACTGGACAGGAGGTGGTGCTCGGGTAGTGACTGGAGCAGAGACAGACTTTCCTGGGCTGAAACTCTTCTCAGAGTAACAAGTGGGCCTCCCGGGAGAAGTGATTGAGCAGGGACTTGCAGGACAGATAAGAGCCAGCCTGCGGGCTATCACAGAAGGGAGATCCAGGCCTGTGAACAGACCGTTGGGCTGGGCTTCCTTTCCTTATCCGCCAAGCCTGCGTGCATCTCATTCAAGCTTAAGTTAGCGTAGGTGAAATCACAGGCCGGAGTCCTCTTCCCTTGCAGCTTGTCCTATAAAGAAGATTAATTAAAGACCCAGATTTGAAGTCCCCGAGAGTAAATTAGCAGAAACAGGAGAAATGTGAGGGCAGCCAACTTCCCTGGTGAGGTTGTCAAAATGGGTCCCAGTATCTGTTGAGGCTTTCAAAGGACACAGCTAAGGGACTTAGCAATGTGCCTTGCTATGGACTCCTGAACAACACCAGGACAAAAGAAGAGACACTAGAAGTTGTGTGGGTTCCTTTAATCCCAGCCCTGGGGGAGACAGAGGCAGGCGGACCTTTGAGTTCCAGGCCAGCCTGGTCTACAGAGTGAGTTCCAGGCCAGCCTGGTCTACAGAGTGAGTTCCAGGCCAGCCTGGTCTACAGAGTGAGTTCCAGGCCAGCCTGGACTACACAGTTTTTTGGGGAAAAAAAAAATATATATATATATAATATATATATATATGTGTGTGTGTGTGTGTGTATACATACATACAAATATATACATATATACATATATATCTTGGAACTTGAGCTCTGAGAAAGCGTGGGGTGGGGAAGGGATGCAGCCCAGTTGGTAGCATCCTAGCCTGTCTATCTTACAGGAAGCCCTGAGTTCAATCCCAAGCACCAAACACAATACAACCAGGGGTAGTAGCAATGCAGGCCTGTCATCCCAGCACTCTGGAGGCAGAGGAAAGAGGATCAGAAATTCAAGGGTAGCCTTAGCAAGCTTGAGGCCAGCCTGGGCTACATATGGCTGAAATGAGGGGTTGGGAGTGGGGAGCTCAGACAGGGATAGTATAAACTCCCTGTATGAGTCCTCATTTCCCTGAGATACTTAGTTGCTCGCTGGTTGGTTTGGTGGTAGATAGCTCATGTTTTACCATGAAAGCCCTGGAGCTTGGTGAGTAGATTGTACAGAAGCCCCCTTACAGCTGGGGATGCTAATCCTGGCTCTTGGGAGGTGGATATAAGAGGATCAGTAGCTCAAAGCCAACTTTGGTGTCTTAGTTACTTTTACTGTGAAGAGACTCCATGACCAAGGCAACAGACAACAGGAGGAGTCTATCAGGGCTTACTGTTTCAGCGAGTGAGCCCATGACCACTGTGGTGGGGACCGTGGCAGCAGGCAGGCATGGCATGGTGATAGAGCAGTAGCTGGAGGTGACAACTGACCCACAAGCTCAAGGCAGAGAGCTAACTGGAAATCAGCCTGGATTTGAAACCTCAAAGCCCACCCCAGCGACACACCTTCAACAAGCCACACCTCCTAATCCTTTCCAAACAGTTCTACCAACTGGGGAAACAAGAATTCAAACAGGATCCTATAGAGCCATTCTTTTGTTTTTTTTTGTTTTTTTTTTTTTGGTTTTTCGAGACAGGGTTTCTCTCTGGTTTTGGAGCCTGTCCTGGAACTCACTCTTGTAGACCAGGCTGGTCTCGAACTCACAGAGATCTGCCTGCCTCTGCCTCCCGAGTGCTGGGATTAAAGGCGTGCGCCACCACCGCCCGGCCCTATAGAGCCATTCTAACTCAAAGTATCACACTGGGCTACATAAGACTCTGTTTCAATGCCAGGCAGTGGTGGCAGAGGCAGTTGGATCTCTGAGTTCAAGGCCAGACTAGGCTACCTAGAGAAACCCTGTCTGGGAAAAAACAACAACAAAAACCCTGTTTCAAGACAAAAAGAAATGTAGTTTTGGAAAAGGGAGAGTGGTCCAAAGCAGTTCCAGAATTCTCAGGAAGGATCGGTCTGTGCCTGTCTTCTGTACTTACCTGGCCATTGTCCTGATGTCCAGTGTCATCTTCAAGAGGCTGGCAGAGCTGAGGAGACCAGGCCTGCTGTGAGCTCTGTCCCCTCTGCTCCTGCTACTCCAGCTCCCAACCTGTGCCTCCATCTCCTTGGGAGGAAAACCTGTCGGTACAGAGAAGAGTCACACAGCCTTCAGTCTCTCTCTTTGCGACACAGTTTCTCTGTGTAACAGTCCTGGCTGTCCTGGCACTCATTCTATAGACCAGGATGGCCTCAAACTCACTGAGATCTGCCTGCCTCTGCCTCCCCACTACTGGGATTAAAGGTGTGTTGTTATTCTTTTTTAAAAATGCTTCAAGATCCCCGCGGCAGTAGGCAGCAGAAATGCTGTAGGTCCCAAATGGTGGTAGCGGGCCATGTGGTGGCAGGCAGCGGGCTCTGGGAGCAGCCAGTCCCAGGCAGAGACGGCTGCTGGTCCCAGAGCAGTGGTGGCGGGCCATGTGGCAGCAGGCAGTGGGCCCCAGGCAGAGACGGCTGCTGGTCCCAGAGCAATGGCTGGTTCCAGGCAGGGAGACACATGGCGGGCGGGCAGAAGACAGAAACATGGATAGACACGACATGCAGGGTGAGGTTGAATGTTTATTCAGGAGGTTATGGAGGAGGAAGGGTGAAGCGGGGGACAGAGAGAGAGGGAGAGAGAGAGAGAGAGGGAGAGAGAGAGAGAGAGAGAGAGAGAGAGAGAGAAAGAGGAGAAAGAGACAGAAGGGGGAAGCAGAGAAGTGGGGAGACAGAAGCAGAAGCTGCCTCTCCGAGAGGAAGATGGAAAAGAGAATGAGCTCAGGCCCGGATCGGGAGGAGAATGTGTGTGGCTTGTCTCTTAAAGGGACCAAAACCATAACATTCCCAGGTCTTCCTTATAATAAAAAGCACGCACGTCAAGGAAGCAGAAAAGGAAGGGCCCAAGATGGCAGCGGGCAGGTCAGAGGTAATGGAGTGGGCGTGGCTTGTCCCTTAAAGCGACAGGAAAGCACAACAGTGTGCCACCATCGCCTGGGCTAGTCTCACTTTTCATCCTGCTTTTGTTTATACCTAGCTACTCCTGATGCATAGCCCAGTCATGGACTTAGAACTTGTTGTGTCGTCCAGGTTGGCCCCAAACTCAGGATCCCTCCTGCCTCTTCCTCCCAAGTTCAGGAGTAACAGGCCTGCCTGTCCATGTCCTGTCTCTCTTTAGGGAACACTTCCTTTTCCTGTCCTTGTTCATAGAGACACTTGGGAAGTGAGAGCAAGGTGATGGAAGGCCTAGTCTAAGGTGACGGAAGGCCGAAGGCCTAGTCTAAGGTGACGGAAGGCCTAGTCTAAGGTGACGGAAGGCCTAGTCTGAGGTGACCGAAGGCCTAGTCTGAGGTGACGGAAGGCCTAGTCTGAGGTGACGGAAGGCCTAGTCTGAGGTGACGGAAGGCCTAGTCTGAGGTGACGGAAGGCCTAGTCTGAGGTGACGGAAGGCCTAGTCTGAGGTGACGGAAGGCCTAGTCTGAGGTGACGGAAGGCCTAGTCTGAGGTGACGGAAGGCCTAGTCTAAGCATTTGGAAAGCATCTCCGTAGCTGGAGTCAATGTTTCCAAAAGGTCTGGAGCATTGGCGGTCAGCTGCCCTGAGTTGAGAAGTAAACCTAACCTTTGATGTTATTTTTTTTTTCTTTTTTCTTTTTCTGCTTTTTCGAGACAGGGTTTCTCTGTGGTTTTGGAGCCTGTCCTGGAACTAGCTCTTGTAGACCAGGCTGGTCTCGAACTCACAGAGATCCGCCTGCCTCTGCCTCCCGAGTGCTGGGATTAAAGGCATGCGCCACCACCGCCCGGCCTTTGATGTTATTTTGAGACAGGAGCATTCTGGCCATACTAGAGCTTGTTATGTAAACCAGGCTGGCTTTGAACTCAGAGATTCTCATGCCTCTGTCTCTAGAGTTCTGGAATTAAAGGCATACGCCATCAGGCCCTGCTGAGAATGAACTGTTCTGAGTGACTGGCACCCTCTTAGGGATACTGCTTTCCTGCTTGACTTTTTGAAGTGGGACTGATTTTTTTTTTTAGATATATTTTTTAAAACACTTTTTTTTTTTTTAGTTTTAACTTTATTTTATGTGTGTGGTGTGAAGGTGTCA